TTGATTTTTTATAATTCTTTAACATTATATTTTTCCAAAAAAAGAAAAATGGGGTTGCAGGGATTAAAAATCCCTACAACCCTTTTTTTTTTTTTTACCCATTATTCTGTCTCTTATACACATCTAGATGTGTATAAGAGACAGTCCTTGGTCCTTGCAGGGGCTGGCCACCCGGGACCCGGGCGGCCCAGCTGGTAACCTAGGGTTGCAGGGATTAAAAATCCCTTTAATCAATTTTTTTTTTTTTTGGCTTATTAAATAAATTAGGAAAAATACGGTAAATTCACGTCCGCGGCGCTGACGAGGCCAGCCGCGGACGCGGCCATATATGTGGCCGCCCTCCGAGCTCGACCCTGCGTACGCGTCCGCGGGTGTTTCGTTAGGACCCCGGCCCCGGTACGGGCTGTACATACAGACTTTGGGCCCTCCGTACATGGCCTTCCGGGGGGGTGTTGAGGGGTTGGATGGGCTGGGAGGGGGTCAGGTGTCGGGGGTATCCCCCCATTAAAAAATAATAATAATAATTTTTTTTTTTTTGGTCCCGGGTATAAAAAAAAAAAAAAGATTGATTGATTGATTAAATCGTTGATTGATTGATTGATTGATTGATTGATTGATATGAGGTGGGAGGGGTCGCCTCCCCCCCACGAGTACACACACACACACACACACACACACATACACAGAAATGCGCGCTCCACGCAGACCCTTATTTTCTTTTTTTTGTTTTCCTTTTGATTGATTGATTGTTTGGTTTGTTTTTTTTTGGTTTACAACCCCATATTTTTTGTTTTTTTGTTTTGGTTTTTTTTTGTCCCTAAATCACTGTCGTACGGCCGTCGTCGGTACACCCGTACGCCCGTTTGTCCGTCCGTATGCACGGGCCGTACAAAGACCCCCCTGTACGATGTACGGGGGACAACACTGGTCGCGACTTCGTCCCTTCTGGACGAGGTCCGCCGGTGTGACCACACGGGGACCAAATTCCTAAAAGAAAACGAACCAAATGCCTCAAATTTTTTAGACTTTTGGTCCCCGTGTGAGTATGCCCTGAGACCACCGTGACCGCAAGCAGGGGCACAAAATGACAGACATATGAAAACGAGGGTGGGAAGGGACAACCACGGTTTTCTTTTTTTCTTTTTAGTAAGTGAGACCACCGTGGGCAGGGGCACAAAACGACAGACAGATGAGAACTCAAAACGAAAACAAAAAAAACAAAACAAAGGACACAGCACGTGAGAAATGAAAACAAAAGTTTAGGACAAAAAGAAAAGACCAGTGTGGCACAGCACAGCACAGAAATGACAACGTTTCCTGCTATGTAGAGCAGACGTTCTGAGTCATCATTATGACGACTATATGGCATGAAAGGAACTCTCATACCTTCAGGTTTTTAGAAGCTCTCGAGTGCTCGTCATGGAAGGGGGGGGCATGTCGTGCTCTAGCGAGGGTAACTTTATTGGCTCTCGTCCTCATCATCGATCAGTTGGACATATGGTGTCAGACACGTATTCTAGCGGAGTCGCACACTACCTCGCTCGCACATGTTGTCTTCGTCGTCAGTCTCACGCTTTGGCAGGGACCTTTCCCGGATAGGGCGACACGAGGAGACCTCGTGCTCATTGCCCTCCACTCCTGTAGGTTCCCTCGAGACAAAAAAGAGCGACTCAGGTAATCATCATCAGCATGCTACGAGAGAAAACGTATGGAGAGAGAATCTCCAAGATTCTCAATGGAGAGAGAATCTCCAAGATTCTCAATCCTTCAACAAGCCAAGATACCCACAAGGAAGGAAGTGACGCAGCGGCCAATCATCCGGTGAAAGTAGTCAGTCGGTTCAAAGACGGTCCCCTCGGTGATGCTGCACCTTCGGCTGTCGTTCTCACACCCACTCGACGCAATGTTCTCGTTGATAACAAGGTCTATGCGCTGGATGGCGTGTCGACTTCACGTCATGAATCGTTGGAGTAGTTCTATCAAAGGTACGTGCAGAAGCGGATTGAAGATGTTGTTGAAGGGGGCCGGTGCTCTGTTTCCGCGCGTTCATTGAACGCGTTGAACGCGCATTCACTGAACGCGGCTGAACGCTTTTGACGCGTTCGCGCAGAAGCCATGTAGTGTTGGGGGCCGTAGGTTTGGGGTGTGGGGGGGACTGGGTGGCGGGGGAGGGGCCAACGGCCCTACAAAAAAAGAAAAACGCCCAAATAATGGCCCAAAAAAAAAACGAAGCATGCATATGTGGCAAAAATATGTGCAAATAATGCAGCAAACTGTGCAACCGGCTGAACGCGCTGAACAAGCGTCCACGTTCAAACGCGCACGTTCATACCCCCAGGGGCCCCGTTCAATCGCGTTCAAATGCGCTGCGTGCCACGTGGCGCGAAAAATTTGAACGCGACATCGGGGGGCGCGCGCTCGCGTTGCGGACTACGGGGTGGAGGGCCTCGTTCAACAAACCACGAAAGTGCAAGAAAAAAAACCCGGGAGGCCCACCACCCCGTAGGGAGCGGCGGCGCTGCTTGGGAGGGGCTGCGGGCCAATGCCCAAACAAAACAGAAAAAAAAAAAAAAAAGTGTGTGAATGTGTGTGTGTGTGTGAATGCTCCTTTTTTTCTTCCGGGGGGGAGTGGGGGAATCTCCCTAACACAGCTCAAACGGCCCATGCAGGCTTTCTGAAGGGTCCTCGCAGCCATGTGGCGCAGACCCCCCTGCCAAATTCAAGGCAGTCAGTGAATATGAAATAGAGCAGGAGCTGGCCGAATATATACTCAAGATTCGGATTCAGGTCTGTGTTTCAGCAGTTATGGGTTGCTCACGTAGTTATGCCATGTTGGTCTATGCACGTGATTCTCAGGGCTTGGCTGCACTACTCACCAAATGTGCAAAACTATAATGAATCTTCTGCAGAACGTGGAATAATACGCCGCCATATGTTTTGTCTTTTTTTTTCTCATTTTTTTTTTTCTTCTTTTTTTTTCTCGTTTATCTTTTTTCTCGTTTTTCTTTTTTTCTCTTTTTTCTTTTCTTAGGAATACGTGGAGTGGCCCTTAAAGAAAAACTAAAGAAAAGAAAAACCAGAAAAAAAAAGACAAAACATATGGCAGCGTATTATTCCACGTTCTGCAGAAGATTCATTATAGTTTTGCACATTTGGTGAGTAGTGCAGCCAAACCCTGAGAATCACGTGCAGGCCTAGCTACGTGAGCAACCCATAACTGCTGAAACACAGGTCTTGAATTCGAATTTTGACTATATATTCGGCCAGCTCCTACCCTGCTTCATATTCACTGCCTGTCTTGATTTTGGCGGGGGGGTCTGCGCCACATGGCTGTGAGGACCCTTCAGAGAGCCTGCATGGGCCGTTTGAGCCGTGTTAAGGGGATTCCCCCACCCCCCCTCCTCGAAAAAAAAAAAGGATCATTCACACACACACACACACACACACATTCACACACTTTTTTTTTTTTTTTAATCCCTTTTATCTTGGGCATTGGCCCACAGCCCCCCCCCACCCCCCCCCCCCCCCCCCCCCCCCCCCCCCACCCCCCCCCCCCCCCCCCCCCCCCCCCCCCCCCCCCCCCCCCCCCCCCCCCCCCCCCCACCCCCCCCCCACCTCCCCCCACCGCCCAAAGGCCCCCCCCACCCCGCACAACCCCCTGCGCAAACGCGTCAAACGCGTTTACCGCCGTTTACTGAACGTGCGTTCACCGCGTTCAAAGGCTGAACGTGAAACGCGCGTTCAATGAACGCGCGGTAACACACGCAGCAAACACTCCCCTCACTTCTGAAAATCGGAAAGCAAGAGGGAGAAAAGTCAGGGCCACACCACACCCCAAAATTGTGGCCACATGCATAGGCATGTTAGCATTCATGTCCTTTTTTTCTTTCTTTTTTCTCGTAATTGTGTCCAGCCTCTTATCCGAAGGTCCCTTACAGCGAATTACCTAGGACCTCACATGCAGCAGAGGTGGACTTCAAACTTCCATTTGCCACCATGAGCAGAGAATATATACTCTAGATTTGAATTCAGGTCTGTGCAGCTCTGTTATGGGTCCCTGTTTCTCTTTTTTATTTTTCCTTTTTCTCGTTTTCTTTTTAATACGTGCAGTGGCCCTAAGGGCCTCTACTCACCACATGCACAAAAGACAAAACATATGGCGGTGTATTATTCCAGGTTTTGCATAAGATTCATTCTAATTTTGCACATTCCATGAGTACTGCAACCATGCCTTGATAATCACGTGCAGAGACCAATACGGCCTAGCTACGTGAGCAACCCATAACTGCTGAAACATAGACCTGAATTTGAATCCTCAGTATATATTCGGCCAGCTCTTGCTCTATGTCATACTCACTGCTTGCCTCGATTTTGGCGAAGGGTTTGCACTTTGTTGTTGTGAGGACCCTCCCAATTACCTGCATGGACCCTTTTAGTCGTGCTAAGGGGATCCAGTGTTCTCTCTCTCTCTCTCTCTCTCTCTCTCTCTCTCTCTCTCTCTCTTTTTTTTTTCCCCCACCCAACAAAAAAAAAAGGAGTGCATGTGTGTGTGTGTATTGGTGTGCGTGTGTATATGTTTGGGTGGGGGTATTTCATGCTTTTTTTTTACTTCTTTTTTTTAATGCCACGCGGCCCAAGGTGGTGCATGACGCGCGCATGCTGGGAGGGGGGGCACATTCAATTTTTTCCTGCCCCCTACCATGTGGTGCATATAAACGCGTTTGAACGCTCGTAGAGAGGGATTGAACGCGCGCGTTTGAACGAGAACGCGAGTTCACAGCGTTCAAACAGTTACATAGGGCCGGTGCATTATGATGATTTGCGGACCCACTGGTGCCGAAAAGAGTTACACGACCTTTGCTAAGGGGAAGGGCCTTGTATACCAAGCAGCGAAACAGATACTGGGCTGCACAAGGAAGCAGAGTTCTCCCGCAAAGTTGGGAGAAGGGAGTTCACTGCGGTCAGGTGGGAGTCCGTGGGACCGACGGTATCCGTAGACGAAGCGGCGGTGGAGGGATGCTGAGTGAAGTGTTTGCTAGTGGAAGCAATGGAGGGCCCACTCCGGGAGCGAAAAGGCCGATCGCTATGGAAACCACGATTTTAGAAATTTATAATGAGAGGGTGCATGATCTTCTTGCTCCGAGGTCTGCAGACGGAGTTGCCGGACGGGTGATCGATAATGTGTCCATCAAGGGAAAGGAAGGTCAAGGAGGGGAGAAGATTAATCACGTCGACGTGAGGGGTGGCGAGGTTGTCGGGACCTTGCGCATCTCTGAATCGGAGCCGAAGAATTTGATGCTTGCAATCGAGCGTGGAATTCGATGTTGCGTGCAGGCCTGTACAGAGCGCAACAATAGGAGCTCAGGAAGCCACTGTATGTTGATCTTGAGGAATCCTGAGGTCAACGATGAGTTAACAATAGTCGATATGGCAGGAAACCACTTGAGAAGAGGTCAACGGGAAGTTGACAATAGTAGATATGGCAGGAAGCCACTTGAGAATGCAGAGCGTGTTGTGGTTACCATAGAAGAGGTCAAGCAGATATGTGCTATAAACAAAGATCTGAGAGCGTGGCGACGTGTCGTGGATGTAAAGGTGAGCGGAGACGCGTACGTTCCCTACTGTGACAGTAAGCTCACAGAGTTGTTGAGGGAGTCATTTGAAGGCGAAGGACGGAGCTTGATGATTCTCTGTGTGAGTCCTGCAGCAAGCCAAATTCATGAAACGATAGGTACACTGACGTATGGCGCCAAGGCAAAGAGGATAATTAAGTCGGTGCTTGTTGAAAGAACCGAAGGTAGTGAGGCTGAAAAAGAAGTGGAGACGTTGCATGCTTGCATGGAGAAGAACGATTCGCGCTTCAAGATGATGAAACTTCATGAAAGTGAGCTGGGAGAGACGAGACAGCGAAAAGGATGCACAAATGTGCGACATGAAGAGAAAAATGGATGCACTGCAGAGGCAGTTGAAAGAGGAGGGTGACGAACGGGTGCGGGAGGTAGAGATGATGCGAGCTGTTTATGAAAAAGCCAGGGCAGAGGGTCATGAGGTGTAGGCATTGGAGAGGAGGGATCTGTCAGCGACGGGCCGAGACTTGGAGGCGCCTGCTTTAGAAAGAGGAAGAAATGACATTGTACTTCTCCGGATTGAGGAGGTGTCCGAACTGCCCCTCGAGGGTGAGGTGCCTGAGAGCAGTAGGCGTTCGAGCGGGGAGAAAGGCGTCGAGCACCCAGTTGATGTCGCTAGTGGAGGAAACAACGCGCTAGTTGGCAACAAAGTTGCTGAGCCCGTTGGAGGTACCGCTGTGAAGTTGAATGGTGATAATGCTGATGATGCCACGACCTATGATGACGATGGTGATGGTCGTATTGATGATGATAATGATGCCGCACGGTTGAATGATGTTGCTGCTGCTGCTGCTGTTGGTGATGATAATGATCACAATGATGATGAAGACCATTATCATGATGGTAATGATGATGATGATAAAGATGGCCCGTTGAATGATGTTGCATCTGTAGCTGCTGATTATGATGACGATTGTGGTAATGGTGATGATAATGATACCCCTGCATTAGATGTTGCCGCCTCTACTGCTGCTCCTGATGATCGTCCAGGGGTTGGAGTTAATGCCGAGTATATGGTAGACGACAAAGTGGATGCCACTTCCACTTCCACAGACAGGCATTTCGTTAATGATAGAGGCACTGCCTCCGGGATTGTTAGGAATGTTATTGATGAGTCTAACATATGCAGTGCGGAACGGCGGGAAGGCGAAGGCGACCGATGGACTTTAGGTAATCCAGGGGTGGATGCCTCTTCACCTCTCATTGATGATTGTGTTGTTAATGATGGACAGAGTGATACAATAGTTTATGCGAATGTTGTTGGCGAATCTGATGATGGCGATGGCCGATGGGAACTGGGCAATGCAAGCGTGGTAGTGGATATCTCTTTTGACGTAAACTCGTTTGGCGAGAGTCGGGAGTGGAGGGTTTGTTGATGCTATCACCTTCACCAATTAGATTGGTATCTCCAATGGATTGTGAGCCGGCTGGATTTGTTGGTACGCTTCCTAACAACGGAGTCAGGAATGACGGGTTTGTTGGTGCTATCACCTTCACCAATTAGATCAGTATCTCCAGGTTTGTTGGTGCAATTCCCAACAACGGAGTCGGGAGTGGAATGTCCCGTGGGGAAGGTTGATGGAAGGTAGTCGTCGGAGATCCTCACAGCAATGCATCCTGAAGTTGTGCTATGCGAGAAGCGGAATGTGGAAATGCAATCTGCAACAGCAGTAGTTGATATATCACCTGCAACAACGAGATCGACGTTCGTACTGGATTGGGAGATGACTTTGCCTGTACGATCAATGCCTGAAATGGGTCTGGAAGTGGTATGTAGTATGTACAACGGGAGGTGACGAAATGAAGAAGGCTGCAGCCGTCGTAGCAGAGATGCACCCTGAGACGGAGAAGTATGACTTGAGGGTTTCAGAAGCCGAGCCAGAAGGAGAGTTGGTAGCAGTAATCATGGACACATAAGTGTGTAACCCACCCTTGGAGGAGGATGCTCAGGTTTTACGGTGGAGGTTCTTTCCGCTCTTGCTTCCGATGACCATCAGCAAAGATCGATGATGTCGCAAAGCTCAGGCTTCTGGATTGAAGCGAAATGTGGAGGTTCTTTCTGCTCTTGTTTCCGATGACCATCAGCAGAGATTGATGATGTCGCAGACGTGCCAGAAGCTTCGGATACAAAGTCCCCTCCAGCTGGAATTTGCCTAGCTTCAGTGACACTAGAAAACAAGGCCGCTGAGATAGAGGTGGTGGAGGTTCGTGGGACAGGTGTGTCGAAGGTTCATGACCAAATTGCGAAGATTCATGTGGCAGAGGAGGCTTGCGTTCCTTCAATTGTCCTCTCGAAGGAGTCTGAGTTTGCTGGAGACAATGGGATCTTGGGAGAGGAATTGGCTCTTTCGCCAAAAGAGAAAACTGAAATTGTTGGAAAGATGCAGGATGGTGAAATTGCCGGGAAGGAAGACGACGATCATTCGACTGAAGGGAGATGGCGGCGAGATGGAAGAATGATGTCGGTTCCAACTTGTGTTTATCGTCTTCTTGCAATGAATTGCAGTTGGCTGTACACTAAGTTTTTTCCATCTAGATGCGCGTCGGCAAATTTGTAACTGTTTGGCCATTGACGTTTGCTGTTTGTAGGGGACTGCTGTGTTGTAGGTTTAGGGAAGTTGGGTAGAAGCTCTGTTACCGCGCGTTTATTGAAGACGCGTTTCGCGTTCAGCCTTTGAACGCGTTGAACGCGCGTTCAGTGAACGGCAGTAAACGTGTTTGATGTGTTTGTGCAGGGGGTTGTGCGGGGTGGGGGGGTCCTTTGAGCAGTGTGGGGAGCAGCACCGGTGCTTGGGGGGGTTGTGGGCAGTGTGGGGAGCGGCGACGCTTTTTGTGGGGGGCTGTGGGTCAATGCCCTAGACAAAACGGATTTAAAAAAAAAAAGAAAAAAAGTGTGTGAATGTGTGTGTGTGTGTGTGTGAAAGCTCCTTTTTTTTTCGGGGGGGGGTGGGCGAATCCCCCTAACACGGCTCAAACGGCCCATGCAGGCTCTCTGAAGGGCCCTCGCAGCCATGTGGCGCAGACCCCCCCACCAAAATCAAGGCAAGCACTGAATATGAATCAGAGCAGGAGCTGACCGAATATATAGTCAAGCTTCGAATTCAGGACCTGTGTTTCAACAGTTATGGGTTGCTCACGTAGCTAGGCCTGCATGTGATTCTCGGGGCATACCGAATATATAGTCAAGATTCAAATTCAGGACCTATGTTTCAGCAGTTATGGGTTGCTCATGTAGCTAGGCCTGCATGTGATTCTCAGGGCTTGGCTGCACTACTCACCAAATGTGCAAAACTAGAATGAAAATAATATACAGACTGATGACCCTTTTTGGCAACCTCTCGGATATTGCTGTCAACTGGGGACACAAAACGATAGGTTGGTGGCTTCACCATCAAGGGGGCCGTCCACCAGAAGGACATCATATTACTTGGGTTGCCCCTGAATCCCCCATTCGGATCCTGGGGGTAAGGATGACGGCGTCTGGCAGACCCCCCGAAAACGACAACTGGATTTCAGCCCCGGCCGGCGCTAAACTTTCACAATGGAACCACCAACAGACCTCACTCTTAGGCCGAGCCCTAGTGATCAATAACGTTGTTTTGGCCACCCTTTGGTACAAGTCGGTTCTATGGCCTCTAAGACCGGGGGGCCTAAAGTCCCTGAAAAGGAAGGTGGCAGCCTATCTTTGGCGAGGGGACAGTGAGAATCCCCATGCCATCAGTCGGGTCGTGTGGGACTCAGTCACCCAACCCAAGGGGGGCCTCAAGAACAATCCAGATCAGGAAAGTGACCAGGGTTCCCCCCTGCTCAGTGTCGGGGTGATACCGGAAAGATTCTCCTACTGTCCTACAAGTTCTTGTTGTGAAGAAGAGAGGGCCAACACTCTGATACAGCAGGAAGGATGACAGCTGGCTACACCCGACAGATGGCTGCATGGTTACAAGGAAGGACTGGGTGACAGGAGGACTCACTGGTGCCCCCCGGGGGGGTGTTTAAAAAAAATAATAATAAAAAAAATGAATCTTCTGCAGAACGTGGAATAATACGCTGCCATATGTTTTATCTTTTTTTTTCTCGTTTTTCTTTTAGGGCCACTGCAAGTATTCCTAAGAAAAGAAAAAACTTTAAGACAAAAAAAGAAAAACGGGAAAAAAGATAAACGAGGAAAAAAAAGACAAAACATATGGCGGCGTATTATTCCACGTTCTGCAGAAGATTCATTCTAGTTTTGCACATTTGGTGAGTAGTGCAGCTAAGCCCTGAGAATCACGTGCATAGACCAACACGGCCTAGCTAAGTGAGCAACCCATAACTGCTGAAACACAGACCTGAATCCGAATCTTGAGTATATATTCGGCTGGCTCCTGCTCTCTTTCATATTCACTGCCTGCCTTGATTTTGGCGGAGGGGTCTGCGCCACATGGCTGCGGGGACCCTTCAGAAAGCCTGCATGGGCCGTCTGAGCTGTGTTAGGGGGATTCCCCCACCCCCCCCCGGAAAAAAAAGGAGCATTCACACACACACACATTCACACACTTTTTTTTTCTTTTTTCCGTTTTGTCTGGGGCATTGGCCCACAGCCCCCCCCAAGCAGCGCCGCCGCTCCCTACGGGGTGATGGGCCTCCCAGGTTTTTTTTTTGCACTTTCGTGGTTTGTTGAACGAGGCCCTCCACCCCGTAGTCTGCAACGCGCGCGCACGACCCCCGGTGTCGCGTTCAAATTTTTCGCTCCACGTGGCGCGCAGCGCGTTTGAACGCGATTGAATGCGGCCCCGGGGGGTATGAACGCGCACGTTTGAACATGGACGCACGTTCAGTGCGTTCAGCTGGTTACACAGTGTAGAAGTAGGCAGAGACCGATGACTCTCGGGTTCTTTTCGATTTTCATTTGGAAGTGGCGCCGGGAGTGATGAGAGCTCCGCTGTTTCCAGCGCTCGTTCTTCCTCCTCTCCGAAGGGGGAACTTGGGCAGCCATAGCTAGGTATTTTCTCCTTTTTGCCTGAATCCGAATGTGAGATGAAATGATATTATGTTTCTCTTATTGAGTAGGGTTGATTCTTCTTTCTCTTACTACAAAAAAGGAAAGGGTTTCTGGTACAATGGAACCTTTTTCGCATTTCAAGGTGAGAGTTGGGGCGCCCTGCTGCTCAACGAAGCAGCATCTGTAAGAGGTCTCCCATGTGCTGATGCCAGTACCATCACGCTGCAGTTTGTTGGTGTTGAAGGACGCCGCTGTTCATCCAGCGGCCTGTTGCTGGTTGCTGCCATATCAGGGAAGCCATCATCTTCTTCATCGAGGTTCACCTTCTTCTTCACGGTGGTTTGCGCCACCGTTACTTCATATCTGGCCTGTGCCAGGTCAGCCCCGGTAATCACAGGCTCGGGGAAGGGTTGGCTGCTGTTTTCAACAGTGGGCTATCATTCGAGGGTGGGGGTCGTAGGGAGAAGAGGAAGTTTCACTGAAATTTCGTTGAAGTAGAGGAGGAGAGCAGGGGGCTATTCAAACTTTTTTTTTTTTCCTCTCAAAAAAAAGAAAAAAAAAGAAAAGACCAGTGTGTTACTTCAATTGATATGCACCAGGTTTGTGATTAAAGGACGACTTTTGAGGCCTGCCATTGGTGCATCCATTTTGGGGGGAAGATTGTCTTTTCCAATAGTGCATGAGAAAAAAATTAAATATTCGAGCCATTTTCTATGCCCTCCTTTTGACTCAGCACTTTGCTGCACTTTAGGAGGGAATATTCATCCTAATCAATACAGACACTAGAAACTTAGTAGGAAGGACTGAGCTGCTAAGGCGTGGGACTGATTACTGTGGTTACATTCCTTGGGAGAGCGGTCCAGACAGCTCCTCGGGCTGGGACGGACTGGACCCAACCTGCACTTGAGTACCCCGGCAGAGATTAACCATTTAAGCAGCATTTAGTTAAAATTCGAAAGTGACATTTTTTCCCAATTTTCACGAAATTGGGCATCCAAGACACACCAGTATTTTTGGGCATTTTTTTGTCCCCATAACATCTGACGAAATTGGGCATCCAACACAAAGTCAGTATTTTTTAGCATTTTTTTGTCCTCACACCATCTGATGATCTGATGTACCTCCCTCGTTTTTTTTCCCATTTCCCCCTCCCATTCTTTTGGACCCTCCCCTGTATTTTGACAGTAGTTTACATCCGGGGGCATCAGATGGCCGGGCGTCCCTTGTGGGGAATTCTGAGAAAAAGGAAAAACATGTGTGTCGATTTTAACTAAATGAATTGTGTTATTTCCTCTTGGAAAGGTCGACGCAGTGGGCACTTGACTTTTGCTAACAGTAGAAGAGGCTGAGAGCTACCTGCGCAAACGAGTGGGAGCGGAAATGTATGTATGTATCTTCTTTTGTTTTTCACGCTGCACCAGGCTCACATTTCCGAGGGCTCGCACCCACCCCAATATTCCCACGGTGCTGGCCATGC